GGCAACTGGGAAGCCCTGGAGGGTTCAAACAAAGAAAATACAGGTTGACTATTCTTTATCCAAAATGCTTGTGACAGAAGTGTTTCCAATTTGGGATTTTTTGAATTTTAGAATATTTGCAGGGACCAGCGCTGTAGCTCATCGGGTTAACACCTTGGCCTGAAGCGCCGGCATCCCATATGGGCCTGGTGGGAGACCCGGCTGCTCCATTTCCAATCTGGCTCTCTGCTGTGGCCTGGGAAAGCATCAGAAGATGGCCCAAGCACTTGGACCCCTGCACCCATGTGGGAGACTCTGATGAAGCTCCTGACTCCCAGCTTTGACCTGGCCCCGCCCTGGCCATTGACCTGGCCCAGCCCTGGCCATTGTGGACATTTAGGGGAGTGAACCTAAAGTAGATAGAAGACCTCTCTCTCTGTCTCTCCCTCTCTCTCTTTTTCTGCAACTCTGCCTTTCAAATAAATAAAATAAGTCTTTAAAAAATAACATTTGCATGTATGTACTGAAATATCTTGGGGATGGGAGCCAATTCTAAACAAGAAATTCATTTATGTTTCATATATGCCTGTACAAATAGTCTGAAGTTAATTTTATACAATATCTTTTTTTTTTTTTTTTTGACAGGCAGAATGGATAGTGAGAGAGAGAGAGACAGAGAGAAAGGTCTTCCTTTTTGCCGTTGGTTCACCCTCCAATGGCCGCCACGGCTGGCGTGCTGCGGCTGGCGCACCCCGCTGATCTGAAGGCAGGAGCCAGGTGCTTCTTCTGGTCTCCCATGGGGTGCAGGGCCCAAGCACTTGGGCCATCCTCCACTGCCTTCCCGAGTCACAGCAGAGAGCTGGCCTGGAAGAGGGACAACCGGGGAAGAATCTGGTACCCCGACCCAGACTAGAATCCGGTGTGCCGGCGCCACTAGGTGGAGGATTAGCCTATTGAGCCGCGGTGCCGGCCAATTTTATACAATATCTTAAATAATTTGTGCATGAACTAGTTTCATGGTGTGACATTTTCCTCTTGTGGCTTGATGTTGGTGCTTGAAAAGCTTCAGATTTTGGAGAATCTGAGATTTTGGATTTTCAGATTATAGAAGCTCAAACTACAGTAGAATGGGAATTTTACTATGTGAAAGATTCTACTGGAAGTAACATAGATAGAGAGGAGTGATGACGCTAATAGAGAGACCAATAAGGAAACCATTGAAACAGAACAGCAATTTGTAGGAAACCCAAGGTGCATCATACTTTTTTTTCTCCTAGGCCCTATGCAAATATAGCCATACTTCTCCCTAATTATCCCCCCAGCAGACTTCACAACCAAGACTGTTTTTCTAGAAGTACCCACGTGGGACTGGCATTGTGACTCAGAAGTTGACCTGCTGCCTGCAACTGGTATCCCATATCAGAGCTCAGATTCAAGTCTTAGCAGCTCTGCTTTCAATCCGGCTCCCTGCTAATGTGCCTGGGAAGGCAGCAGAGTATGACCCAGCAGAGTATGGCCCCCTGCCACCCATGCAGAAGACTCAGCTGGAGCTCTGGGCTCCTGGCTTCATCCTGGACCAGCCCACACGATTGTGGAGGCCGTTTGGGGAATGGACCAGCAGATGAAAGATCTCTCTCTTTCTCTTTCTGTCACACTTCCCTTCAAATAAATAAAACTTTTTTTTATTTGACAGGTAGAGTTATAGACAGAGAGAGAGAGAGAGAGAGAGAGAAAGGTCTTCCTTCCACATGCAGGTGCAGGGCCCAAGCACTTGGGCCATCCTCCACTGCTCTCCCGGGCCACAGCAGAGAGCTGGCCTGGAAGAGGAGCAACCGGGACTAGAACATGGTGCCCATATAGGATGCCAGCGCTGCAGATGGAGGATTAACCAAGTGAGCCATGGCGTCAGCCCCCTAAAGCTTTAAAAAATAATTATAGATGTGTCCACTTGCCTCCAACTTATGTCTTTTGAACTTAGGTGTGAATAAATCACAATTTACTTCAAATCAGAAACCTGAATACATTGTAGTAAGATAATCATATTACTGAAAGTCAGTGGGCAATTCAGTGATTTGTTAGTGATGGATTCATCATGAATTCAACACGAACAGGATGCTGCCTGACAGAGTACTTTAAGTCACTTCTCCCTGCACCTACCTCCTCGCTCAGCGACTACCCACGTACACAGAAGCAGGGGCCCTTCATGGTCAGGACGTCACTGAGCAGACACCTGTTTCCCATGCACTCCCCAGGAAAGCACCAGAACGTGTCCAGAAGCAGCTATTGCCCCTAAATACAGAATGGGAGGGTGATATTTTCACATTCCCAACTTGAGTGTCTTGGAGAGAGTGCCTTGGGTCCAGTCTTTCTCTGCCATTGTTGACAGCTCTGGTTCACTCCCAAGAATGCTTAGAAGAGCGGGAAGGGTCTGGCTTAGGCTTTGTTCTTCCTAAACTCTGAGAACTTCCTTCAAGGATTCCTGTGGCCCCAGGGCTCTCATTTTATAGATAAGAGGTTGGGCTAAAAGAAGATCATCTTTAAGGTTCCTCCTTGATTAAATGAGATTCTGGCTATAAACTTACCTTCGGAGGAAACATCCTAATTTATAACCACTGATTTTGGTGATTAGGTCAATAAATGTCTTCCTAAAGATTTAGAAGAGTGACAGCACGCTCCTTTATTGTGCCAGTGGGCAAATCAATACTTTCCATGATCCCTTTACAACTCATTACCCAGAACAAAGGAAAAACCTGGTGTTCATTAGCAAAGTCAACTTTTTTAAAGAAAGATCCAGTTGTATATTCCTATGTTAGCCACAGTTAAACTTTTTGCTACCTAAAACCAAACCAAAGAACTCTAATTATGCTTAAATTTTCTTCAGCTGTCGTGTACCACCTCTATCACTTACTAAAAGAAATTTCCAAAATGCCCTCTCAAAGAAACTTCAAAACACACACACACACACACGCACACACACGCACACACACACGCACGCACGCAACTTAAATATTCGGATATGAACATTTTACTTTAAACTTTATTTATTTATACCATTTGAAAGGCAGAGAGAGTCAGACAGACAAAGATCTCCTCCCATCCACTGGTTCACTCCCCACATACCTACAATAGCTGTGGTGGGGTCAGGCCAAAGCCAGGAGCCAGGACCTCAATCTGGGTTGCCCTCATGAGTGGCAGGAACTCAACAATTTGAGCCATCAACAGCTGCCTCCTGAGGTCTACATTAGTGGAAAACTGGAACTGGAAGTAGTGCCAGCCTTCAAATCGACACACTCTGATATGGGAGGTCAGTGCCCCAAGCAGTGTCTTAACTACTGCACAAAACACCCGCCCCACATATATAACATTTTAGAACTCAGAGTGGTATAAACTCTGTAACTCTTCCTCACAATAGTTTCCAGTAAAGGATTACTGTCTTCGGTCTGTTACATTTCCAGGTTTTAGAGGGAGAATTTTGAAAGACACAATCATTAGAACAAAATCCCATTACAACAAACCAGATACAGTTACGTGGATATCAATATATCGTTAGGTGTAGTTATGCACAGATATGGTTATGCAGACTTTGTAACAGTAAGTTTTCACCAGTCTACACCAGACAAAATCCAGGACCTCAACATTTATTTGCCCCTAAGACAATATGCAGAAAAACTTCGGGTTTTCTGTGCCATATGGAGACATAAAACATTAGATTTTTATACATTTATATATGTCATTTTTTCTTTTATGATTCCCAGGTCTTCAAAGTTTCTAAAAATAATTTTTCCAACTCTGAAAGTAAATATAGTCTACTAAATTTTCTCCTAATATTTCTATATTTTTACATTGAAGTCATTCTATCTGCAGCTTATTTCTGTACCTTATATAACAAAGGAATGCAAATTGTTGTCCCACGTGGAAATTGTTGGCTGTGACAAACACTTTGTTAAATCACTTTTTCCCCAGTTAATTGAAATATTACCTTTATGACATTTGAAGTTGCTGTATATTCTTCGAACTGTTCCTAGACTGCATTTCAACTGAGTCAGGGATATTTGTTGCAATATTGTTTACAGTCACAAAAAATTAGCACAGCTTTCAGTAGGAGAATAAATAAATAGTACATCATTCACATCACAGAATATAACTTACCTAGGACAGATAATAAATTAATTCAAAAATATTGCCTGGATGGACGAGTACTAAAACAACTGGCAGGGGCCGGTGCTGTGGTACAGCGGGTTAACACCTTGGCCTGAAGTGCCGGCATCTCACATGGGTGCTGGTTCAAGACCTGGCTTCTCCACTTCTGATTCAGTTCTCTGCTATGACCTGGAAAAGCAGTGGAAGATGGCCCAAGTCCTTGGGCCCCTGCACCCACATGGGAGATCCGGAAGAAGCTCCTGGCTCCTGGCTTCAGATCAGTGCAGCTCCGGCCGTTGCAGCCAATGGGGAGTGAACCACCAGATGGAAGACCTCTCTCTCTCTCTCTGTGTCTCCTCTCTGTGTAACTCTGACTTCAAATAAATAAATACATCTTAAAAAAAACAATTGGCAGATTACTGATTTGGGAGGTTGAACCTACAAGCATAATATTTGCAAGAAGTGTTACATCAATTATCTCAGAGATTGACAATGGAGGAGAGGAAGAGTATTAACTTTATAGGATTATAATTTGTGCAAATAGGCAAATGTGAACTTTTGAAATGTAAAAACCCAATACAACTGTGTTCAAAGTCTTTATTAGCCTGTGTGTCAGAGGGCTTGCTATTTGTATTACTAAAATTACATATGCATGTAAAACTCAGGGGCCATAAATGGAAACTAAAAGACCATATTTGTCTATATAAAAATTAAGGATGCTATTTATCCAGGAAATAGCATAAATGAAGTTACAGAAGACAACTCCCTGAAAGCGAATATGTGGGATATAGAAGAATATTTTTCACATACGAAGAGATTGTGTAAATCAATAATAAAAACATACATAAACAAAACAGACAAGAGTTATGAATCGGCCACACACGAAGAAACCACTATCAGCTCATTTTATTTGAATGTGTCTACATACACATATAGCATGTAATTATACATAGCCTCATCCAAATTATGACATTTATATTTTGTTTATGCTGTCTCCAGAGAAATGAACAGCCCAGCCTGTCCCACGTGAGACTGAGACTGTGCCGTCGGAGCAGCACGACAGTCCTGCTGATAGCGCAGACCTGGACACATATGCACACACGCACACACACATGTGCACACACACACGCACACGCATGCGCGTGCGCACACACACACATGCACGCGCGCACACACACGCACGGCCATTCCACACCAGCTAAGGAAACTGCCTTCTCCCAGGGCTGCTTCCTTCCAACAGTTCAAAGAGGAATTCCTGAAGCAGAGTTGTCTGGCAGAGCTCGCTCCAGGAAAAGGAATGACTCAAGTCACGTCAGACGCCTGGTTCTCTACCACTGCCCTCTCCCCAAGGCTCGCAGGGTGTGCCGGGCCTGTCTCCCCTGCCCCAGACCCGGGACCCACCGGGGCAGCAGCCATTCACTGGACACACGGAACTCCAGGAAACTGGAGAGCTTCCCTTAGCCAACAAGCAGGAGGCTGAACCACAGAGACCACCTCCGCAAATCAAAACGGACGCACCAAAAATCTTCAGGAAACAGGTCACAGATTCAGAGACAAAGAATGGGTTCTATTAGGGCCAAAAAATAAGAAACAAAAATCATAGGGAAAAAAGTAGATCAGTTGAGTTTGAAGTACATTAGAAGTAAAACAAGGAACACAACAGATGGAATAGAATCTCAGAAGAAAGAATCAGCAAGATTCGACAGAGGAACTCTTCAGTAAGCAACAGGAAAGAGACATGCTTTAAAATGTGTTTAAAAATTCGAAGATTGGAAGGGCAGAAAGCATGTCAATATCCAATAGGAGGCTGGCGCCGCGGCTCACTAGGCTAATCCTCCGCCTTGTGGCGCCTGTACACCGGGTTCATATCGCACATTCTGTCCCGGTTGCCCCTCTTCCAGGCCAGTCTCTGCTGTGGCCCGGGAGTGCAGTGGAGGATGGCCCAAGTGCTTGGGCCCTGCACCCCATGGGAGACCAGGAGAAGCACCTGGCTCCTGGCTTCAGATCAGCACAGCTCTGGCCGTTGTGGTCATCTGGGGAATGAATCAGTGGATGGAAGGCCCCTCTCTCTCTCTCTGCTTCTCTGTGACTCTGCCTTTCAAATAAATAAATAAATCTTTTGAAAAAATTAAAATAAAATAAGATTTTAAAAAAATGAGGGGCCACAAGAGAGATACTTGAAATGAAAGAACACAAAATTTGTCAGAATTGTGTTTTTTTAGATTTTTTTATTTATTTTGAAAATCAGTTACACAGAGAGAGGAAGAGACAGAGAGACCTTCCATCTGCTGGTTCACTCCCCAGATGGCCACAAAGGGCAGAGTTGGCCAGGCTGAAGCCAGGAACCGTGAGCTTCATCTGGATCTCCCACATGGGTGCAGGGGCCCAAGCATTTGGGCCATCTTTCACTGCTTTTCCCAGGCCATTAGCAGGAAGCTGGATCCAAAGCAGAGCGGCTGGGACTCAAACTGGCACCCACGTGAGATGCCGGCATTGCAGATGGCCACGTCACCTGCTATGCCACAATGCGAGCCCCATAATCGGAAATTTCAACGGGTCATTCTCAGAAATTAATAGCTGAAACAAAGAGAAAATAAAAGTGGATATCGAAGACTATAATCATATAGTCAACAACTCCAAACGATTAAAATTATGTAGAACTCTGCTTTTAACAAACATGAAAACATTATTTTCATGCACTTGTGATACATTTACAAAGCAAGCCTTTTTTCTTTTAAGATTTATTTCTTTATTAGAAAGTCAGAGTTACACAGAGAGAGAAAAAGAGGCAGAGAGAAAGAGAGAGAGAGAGAGAGAGGTCCTCTATCCACTAGTTCACTTCACAATTGGCTGCAGCGGCCAGAGCTGTGCAGCTCTGAAACCAGGAGCCAGGAGCCAGGAGCTTCTTCCAGGTCTCCTACCTGGAAGCGGGTGCAGGGGCCCAGGGACTTGGACCATCTTAGTGGGTAAGCAGCCTTACCCACTAAGCCACAGCAAGGCTATTTATGACCATAAAAGTAGTCTCAGCCGGCGCCGCAGCTCACTAGGCTAATCCTCCGCCTAGCGGCGGGCGCCGACACACCGGGTTCTAGTCCCGGTTGGGGCACCGGATTCTGTCCCGGTTGCCCCTCTTCCAGGCCAGCTCTCTGCTGTAGCCAGGGAGTACAGTGGAGGATGGCCCAGGTGCTTGGGCCCTGCACCCCATGGGAGACCAGGAAAAGCACCTGGCTCCTGGCTCCTGGCTCCTGCCATCGGATCAGCGCGGTGCGCCGGCCACAGCGCGCCGGCCGCAGCGGCCATTGGAGGGTGAACCAACGGCAAAGGAAGACCTTTCTCTCTGTCTCTCTCTCACTGTCCACTCTGCCTGTCAAAAAATAAAAAAATAAAAATAAAAATAAAAAAAGTAGTCTCAGTAAATTCTGAAATTCAATAATATTTGAAATGTGAAATTTTTGAAATGAAATATTTTAAATGAAAATATTTGAAATGGAATTAGGAATTAAAGCAAAACAGTTACTTAAAAATACTTTTCAAAATGTACTGAAACAAAAAGACATGTTGCAGGCCGGCGCTGTGACTCACTAGGCTAATCCTCCGCCTTGCGGCGCCGGCACACCGGGTTCTAGTCCCGGTCGGGGCGCCGGATTCTGTCCCGGTTGCCCCTCTTCCAGGCCAGCTCTCTGCTGTGGCCAGGGAGTGCAGTGGAGGATGGCCCAAGTGCTTGGGCCCTGCACCCCATGGGAGACCAGGATAAGCATCTGGCTCCTGCCATCGGATCAGCGTGGTGCACTGGCAGCAGCACGCGGGCCGCGGCGGCCATTGGAGGGTGAACCAACGGCAAAGGAAGACCTTTCTCTCTCTGTCTCTCTCTCTCACTGTCCATTCTGCCTGTCCAAAAAAAAAAAAAAAAAAAAAAAGGTACTATTTAAGATAAAGTGATAAATCACGAAAGTGCTGGAATTGGGAGGGCACAGCTAATGCAGCACTAGAGGGAGACAGACATTTTTAAGTAAATGTATCATAAAGCAAGGAAGTCTAGAAAAGAAGTGAGAGAATTCAACTGAAAAATTGGAGAAAATGTAACAGGGAAAATCCAAAAAAGCAAGAAGAAAGGAACTTACAGTGAAGATGAAGGTAGAAATCAACAAAGCAGAGAGCAAAAACAGGAGAATCTTCATCGTGTGACTAATAATATAGCAAACCTCTTAGAAGATTAATAAAGAAAAAAGAATATTCCAAATGAATAAGATCCATAACCAAAAAGAGTAGATTGCTGTAGACATAACTGGTTGGCGAACAACAGGGATATTATTAACAATAACACACTAATATATTTTATGGCCAAAATGAAATGAATAGATTCCTAGGGGGGAAATGATGAAATTGGTACTAGAAAATTTAAATAGACCGGTAAATGCTAAAGAAATTGAAAAAGTATGGGGCTGGCGCTGTGGCACAGCGATGCAATGCCGGCATCCCATATGGGCGCCGGTTCGACTCCTGGCTGCTCCACTTCCAATCCAGCTCTGCTGTGGCCTGGGAAAGCAGTGGAAGATGGCCCAGGTCCTTGGGCCCCTGCACCTACGCAGGAGACCCAGAAGATGCTCCTGGCTCCTGGCTTTGGCTCAGCTCAGGTCTAGCCATTGCAATCATTTGGGGAGTGAACCAGCGGATGGAAGACCTCTCTCTCTCTCTGGCTCTATCTTTCTCTGTAACTCTGCCTTTCAAATAAATAAAATAAATCTTTTTTTTTTCAAGAAAGAAATTGAAAAAGTAGTCATCCAAATCTCTCCGTAAAAAACGATCTACCGTGAACAATTTACAGATGAAGTCTACCAGACTTCCACAGCTCCGTTAATTCTTAAATTATCCAAGTTGTACCAGAAAAGTGGGAAAAGAGTGACAACTTCCCAGCTCGTTTTATGACACCTATAATCTTGATTTCGATATCAGATAAGAACACGATAAGAAGAGAAAATGACAGGCCACTTTCACTTATGAATGTAGGTGTAAAAATCTCAAATAAAACAATAGATAATTGAATCTCAATCAAATAAGATTTCTCTTATTTGAAAAATCTTTGAAAAAATTCAAAGATGGCTCCATATAAGAAAATCTATCAGATTAATGCATCTCACTAGTAGGCATCAAGAGGTGAATTACACAATGTCAAATAATGAAGAAAATGTTTCAGACAAAATTATGATTTTAAAAATCCCTAGCAAGCTAGCAATAGAAGATACTTATCCTAGTTTATAAAGGTAATATAGCAAAGCCTTCAGTAAACATCATACCTAAGAAAGAAAGTTTAGATGCATTACCTTTAAGATAAGAACAAGATGAGGACAGCCCTGTCACTGTTTCTGTTGAATGTTGCAGTGGACATCCTGGTCAACCCTACAAGAAAAGAAAAAAGTTAGTAAGACGGGTAAGACTAAAAGGGGAGGTAGAAAAATTGAATTATGTGCCGCTGTTAAGATCAACTATGTAGCGAGACAAACAGAATAATCAGGCAAACCATTAGCACCAGTCAGCGAGCTCAGCAAAGTTACAGAATAAAAGAGCAATTTACACAAATCAGGACCATTTTTCTACCCCAGAAACTGGGAAACGGAGATCGTGAGCGCCAGATCTCTCCTCAGGCCTGAGGTCTGTAGGGGCCGGCGCAGGGGTGTAGCGGGTTACACCAGGGCCTGCATCGCTGGCACTGCTGGCGGAGGCTTCACCTTCTACGTCACAGTGCCGGCCCCTGGAAAACAATTTAAACTCTGATAAAAGATGCACAAAATGAACAGACTTAATGGGGCTATATCCTGTGCTCTTGGATGAACTGCTTGAATTCTCCCCCAAACTTATTTTTTTAAAAAATCAGAGCGATTCCGACTGGATTTCTTTTGCAATTCAATAAGCTTATTCTTAAATTTATATGGAAGAAGGAGTCACCCAAAACAGCTTTAGAAAAGGCTGAAAAGGGAGACTTACCCTTGCATAAGACACAGTTACAAATCATCAAATGAAGGCAGTGTGGTCATGTGGTCATGACTGAACTGACCCCGGGAATAGAAGGAGACGTCAGAGACAGCCCCTGCCTGTGTGGGAACGTGCCCGAGACGGGTGGCACCCCAGGTCGCTGGTGCCGAGTCTGATCACTTAGTGATGCCTGGAGAAAACAAGCTCGCAACTTGGAGAAAAACAAAACTCAATCCCCTCCCAACAGCACAACAAAGGTGGACTGGAGATGGGTTGCAAACTGCAGCAAGAAAGGTACCTGTGTCTGAAGTCAACAGCAGACAACCATTGGGGTTCCTTAAACAAAACTGCAAAAAGCATGAGCTATCAGGCAACAGGGACAAAAACCACTCGCATAAGAATTATGGTTTTCTTTCAAACCAGAGATACCGTAGACAAAGTTAAATGAAAGAGCCAGTGAAGCAGATATTGACAATGTCTAAAGCCAGCAAGGCAGGGAGGTACATGTTTGACCCAGTGGTTGCGACACCCGCATCCTACATTAGAGTACCTGGGACTGATACCTACCTCCAGTTGCAGACTCTAACTTCCTGCCAACGCAGATCCTGGCAGGCAGCAGTGATGGCTCAAGTGACTGGGGCCCTGCCGTCCATGTGGGAGACTTGGACTAAGGCCCTGGCCCCTGGCTCCAGCCTAGGCCCAGTTTTGCCTGAGACATTGGAGAGTGAACCAGTAGATGAGCTCTCTCTCTCTCTCCTTCTCTCTTTCAAACTAAAAATAAAAACCAAGGGCTACAGGGCCAGTGTCATGGCCTAGGAGGTTAGGCCACCACCTGGGACACCAGCATCCCATATGGGCACTGGTTCAAGTCCTGGCTGCTCTACTTCCTTTCCAGCTCCCTGCTAATGGCTTGGGAAAAGCAGCAAAAGATGGTCCAAGTGTTTGGGTTCCTGCCATCCATGTGGGAGCCGTGGAAGAAGCTGCTGGCTTTGGCCTAGCCCAGCCTTGGCTGTTGCAGCCCTCTGGGGAGTGGGCCAGGGGATGGAAGATGTCTGTCTTTCTCCCTGTCTCTCCGTTACTCTCTGTGTGACTCTTTCACACAAACAAATGAATCTTAAAAAAAAAAAAAAAGAAAAGGTTACATATCGATATTGGTGCATAAGACAACAGAAGTAGAAAATGCAGACGAGAAAAGAATTAGACAATAAGAGAGTGGTCCAGCCTGTGAGAATGTGCCCTGACTCAAGAATCAGCATCACTCCCCTTCTGCCTTCGAGGTCCATGAAGGGAAACGCACTTCCCCAGATCTGAGGCACTCTCTGGTTGTTAAGATGTCTCATCATATCCAGTTACTAATAAGCATTGCCAATTAGTGACACAATGCTCTCTTATCACGTACGATTTATTATTATGTTTTGCAAGTGCTTTTAGACTTGGAAAGATTTTTAATATTCTTCTTCTCATACATAAAAAGGAAAATATCAGTAAAACGAATGGGTTGAGGTATTCCTCAAACTGTGTTGTATTCAGAATCCAACTATTCTATGTTACTTTTTAATTCAGACTCATCTATGCTTATCAGTGGAACCAAATGAAACTGCTTATTCAACTCATTTTGATCAAAGAACAGCAATTTCATATGGTTCTACCTAAAAAATTGATTGTTCTTTTGTTATCTCCAGAATTTTCTTCCCAAATGCTGACACCCATTCTCCAAGTTTTAATTCTAGTGCTTTCTTTCTCCCCAGAAGAGTTGGGGGTTTTGTTTGTTTAAAGACAATGAGTACAATATTCTTCAAATGGCTCTCAAATACCTTTTTGACTGGGAACATGGAGAAGCTGCACTGACCAGTCTTGCCACCTACCAAGAATAATACCCAAGGTCATTCATGCACAGACAAGGAAAACTCTGTCACAACCACCAGCTGGCCAAGAGCACTGGAAAGCTGTTCTGAGCATTTTAAGAAGCGTTCTAATTTTAGAAGTGATAAAGGTGTGGGGGTGGTGGGTATCTTGGAATTGATTACCAGTAAAATGTTAACTAACATGAATAAGCAAAAACAAGTGCATTTGGAAGCTCTCAATAGAAGCTTACATGAGAGCCACAGGTGCAATCAGTACCCCACCCACAGTTCCCTGTGTTCTCATGCATTCTACAACACCTGCTTACAGGGCAGGTCAAACATGCCAAAGGCTGCTACCCCCTGGGAACAGCTGTCAGCCAATGATGAAGACAAACTAGCTGCCTCACCCCTCGACGGGGGATTCTCAGGCTGGGTCTTCATCGTTCCTGAGAGCCTGCCAGTGGGCAGAAAGCCCAAGTGCCTGCAGGAGTAGCCTGGGGCTGGTGCTGTGGAGTACTGGGTAAAGCCAGCATCCTATATGGGTGCTGGTTCAAGTTCCAGCTGCTCCACTTCTGATCCAGCCCCCTGCAGATGCACCTGGGAAAGCAGCAGAAGATGGTCCAAGTCCTTGGGCTCCTGACTCCTGGCTTCATACCAGCCTGCTCCAGCTATTGCAGCCAATTGGGGAGTGAACCAGAGGATGGAAAATCTCACTCACTCCCTCACTCTCTCTGTAACTCTGCCTTTCAAATAAATACATACTTTTTTTTAAAAAAAAAGAAAGGCAGAGTTACACAGAGAGAGGAGAGACAGAGAGAGAAAGAGAGAGAGGTCTTCCAGATGGTGGTTCACTCCCCAGTTGGCTGCAACAGCCGAAGCTGAGCCGATCCGAAGCCAGGTGCTTCCTCTGGGTCTCCTATGCGGGTGCAGGGGCCCAAGGACTTGGGCCATCTTCTACTGCTTTCCCAGGCCATAGCAGAGAGCTGGATTGGAAGTGGAGCAGCCGGGTCTAGAACCAGCGTCCATATGGGATGCCGGCGCTTCAGGCTAGGACATTAACCCGCTGCACCACAGCACCGGCCCCAAAAATACATACATCTTAAGGGAAAAAAAAAAAGAAAGAAAGAAAAAAAGAAAGCAGCCCTGCCTGTTTCCTTCTCATTCTTGTATCTCTTCTCCACCCTCTTGCTGATGCTTCTAAAACTGTGTTCCCAAATAAGCTACTTGCACACCCGTTATTGTTTCAGAACCTGCTGCTGGGGAGATGCTACCTAAGATGGTGACCAGATTTGACACAAGGACTTTGTAGAATTTGGCCATCACTTGACACAAAAAGTCAGGTGCGCCCCTCCATTCAATGGGAGGTCTCTCTGCCAGGGGTCAAACCTGAGAGGTTCTTCTTTCCTAACTTCTCCCTGCCTCCCATGCCCATGTGCCCTTTGAATTCTCAGCTTCTCTCCTCCCTTCCCCGTCCCTTCCCACAGTCCACAGGGCTTTGCGCCCATTTCCTCCACGGCCTCCAAGAACTGCATTGTGGGATAGGGTGAGCAGAAAATTCCCTATACAGAGCCTGACCCCCTGTGGTGGAGAGGAGAACTTAAGTCCGTCCATAAGCTTAAAAAACTATTAAAGTGAATTAAATAATAGTGAACGAATAAGTAATTTTTTTTAATTTTAAACACCTAAGAATGATTGTGCATTGATTACAGAGTTCAACCAGTGGTCTTATGTAGAACAAACAGAGCAACAACAACAACAAAAATACTAAAAGGAATAAAATAAGTTGTTCCTCAACAGTCTAGATAAGGGCTGATCATGTCATTGTCTCTCACAGTGTCCATTTCACTTCAATGGGTATCATTTTAGATGCTCGTTTAGTTGCCATCGATCAGGGAGAACATATGATATTTGTCCCTTTTGGACTGGCTTATTTCACTCAGCATGATATTTTCCAGCTTCTTCCATTTTGTTGTAAATGCCCGGATTTCATTGTTTTTTACTGCTGTATAGTGTTCCATAGAGTACATATCCCATAGTTTCTTTATCCAGTCATCCATTGATGTACATTTAGGTTGATTCCATGTCCTAGCTATTGTGAATTGAGCTGCAACAAATATTGAGGTGCAAATGGCTCTTTTTTCTCCCCTTTAATTCCATTTGGGTATAATGGATAAGTAATTTGATCCCTAAAGACTTACATTGAAAAAAAATCTTTAAATTATTTCCATTTTATTTGAAAGATGCAAAGAGGGGGGAAGACAAAGAGAGAGGTCTTCCATCCACGAGTTCACTCCCCAAATGGCCACAACAGCCCAGGGCTGGTCCAGGCCGAAGTCAGGAGCCAAGGACTCCATGCTGGTCTCCCACATGGGAACGCAAGTACTTGAGCCATGATCTGCTGCTTCCCAGTGTGCACATTAGCAGGAAGCTGGATCAGAAGTGGAGAAGCCAGGCTTCAACCCTAAACTTTCCAATATGGAATGCAGGCATCCTAAGGGGCGACTTAACCACTGCACCAAACACCCACCACCAAAACCCACCGCAGACTTTCACCGAGCCATTTACAGACACCAGGAATATTCA